CAAGTTCCTTGGTGTCCACATTACCAACAAACTATCATGGTCCAAACAGCTGCACCATCGAGAGCATCCTGACCAGTTGCATCACCGCCTGGTATGGCAACTGCTCGGCATCCGACCGTAAGGCTTCCTGCCATCCAGAACCCCCCGTCCCCGTCCGTCCATCCATCTCCCTCCATGGCGGGAGAGACAGAACAGGAGAGGCTTTGGAAAAAAAGACATTGAAGCGTTCTAGCTAAATGCCCAGGATAAAACCAGGTGTGAGAGAAACTCTCTGATGTGTTCAACATGAGGTTAGGGATAATGTTCCTCTAACATCTGCTGAACACAATGACATATGACATAAGACGTGTTTCTGGAACATCGTGGTTGAGTAAATGTTGTAGTAATGATCAGCATGTATTCTCACACAGGAACCACAACAGAAACGTTCCCCAATGTTCTATAATCAATTTGTTGCTTGACCTAGGGTGGGATACAAGATTTAGAGGGTCTATTCCTGTTCACATTTGTTTCTGTTGGCTTGGCCAATTGGGTTTCCTGCTCCTTTCATTTAGAGTGATTTAAACCAGGCTCCCTGGACTTGCTCTTATCTCGAATAAGTGAAGGATGGGTTCAGTGTGAGAGGATGAAGTGAAGAGTTCAGTCCACCTCCACCTCCTCACGCTCATGTTGCATTTCAAATGAGCTGCCTTGCCTTGTCGTTAACACAGAGGTGTGCACACATATACACACACACACACGCACAGATGTATTTGCACACAGCGTGCACACACATATCCATGCACTCGCACCAATGCACACACACACACACATAACGGCATACACACCGACACACTAAATATTTCTACTCTATTTCTGAAATAAATAACAAGTGCCCCTGAGAGTCATGCTCAATTGAGATTTAACTGTCGGAGTGGGATTACTTGATAATGACATTCTGGTGGCCTCCATTTTGTTTCTACAGTGAGTAAAGTTGCACAGAGAGCCAGTGGCTAGGGTTTGCTGGGCAGGCTGGGACACTGGATTCCAAGTGTCAAGATGCCAAGCAGGCGAGGTTGTTATTATGTTCCCAAGCTGATACCTGATAAAGGAAACGAACGCTGTCCTCTGGAAAAAAAACTAACTTTTGATAATGCTGGACTGTCTACCGCAGTGTGTGTATGTGTGTCAGGTGATATTGGTGATGTATGTCTGCATAGGAATGGGGGGGGTGTGGTTGGCTGTGTGAGTGTTTGCATATCTGTGTGTGAGTGTTTCCATCATATCAGAGAAAGACACTCAGAAAACAAACAGAGGTTGGGTCATATTAGCCCGGTTGTCTGTGTGTGTGTGTGTGTGTGTGTGTGTGTGTGTAAAATATAATACTGTGGACAGAATACATTTTAGAGAACAACGGAACCGAATGTAAGGACATACAGTGCATTCGGAAAGTATTCAGAAGTATTCAGTATTTTGACTTTTTCCACATTTTGTTACCTTACAGCCTTATTCTAAAATTGATGACATTATTTCCCCCCCTCATCAATCTACACAAAATACCCACAAAGTGAAAACAGGTTTTTAGAAAATTTTGCAAATGTATTAAAAATAAAAAACAAAAATACCTTCTTTACATAAGTATTCAGACCCTTTGCTATGAGACTCGAAATTTTGCTCAAGTGCATCCTGTTTCCATTGAACATCCTTGAGATGTTTCTACAACTTGACTGGAGTCCACCTTTGGTAAATTCAATTGATTGGACATGATTTGGAAAGGCACACACCTGTCTATATAAGGTCCCACAGTGCATGTCAGAGCAAGAACCAAGCCATGAGGTTGAATGAATTGTCCGTAGAGCTCCGAGACTGGATTGTGTCGAGGCACAGATCTGGGGAAGGGTACCAAAACATTTCTGCAGCATTGAAGGTCCCCAAGAGCACAGTGGCCTCCATCATTATTAAATGGAAGAAGTTTGGAACCACCAAGACTCTTCCTAGAGCAGGCTGCCCGGCCAAACTGAGCAATCGGGGGAGAAGGGCCTTGGTCAGGGAGGTGACCAAGAACCCAATGGTCACTCTGACAGAGCTCCAGAGTTCCTCTTTGGAGATGGGAGAACTTTCCAGAAGGACAACCATATCTGCAGCACTCCACCAATCAGGCACATGACAGCCCACTTGGAGCTTGCCAAAAGGCACCTAAACGACTCTCAGACCATGAGAAACAAAATTCTCTGGTCTGATGAAACCAATATTGAACTCTTTGGCCTGAATGCCAAGCGTCACATCTGGAGGAAACCTGGCACCATCCCTACGGTGAAGCATGGTGGTGGCAGCATCATGCTGTGGGGATGTTTTTCAGCAGCAGGGACTGGGAGACTAGTCAGGATCGAGGGAAAAATGAACAGAGAAAAGTACAGAGATCCTCAGACTGGGGTCGAAGGTTCACCTTCCACAGGACAACGACCCTAAGCATACAGCCAAGACAACGCAGGAGTGGCTTCGGGACAAGTCTCTGAATGTCCTTGAGTGGCCCAGCCAGAGACCGGACTTGAACCCGATCGAACATCTCTGGAGAGACCTGAAAATAGTGGTCGATTTCCAGTTTTTAAGTATACGTTTTTTCAAGATGATTGACGAGAAAAGTATTGTCCAACCCATCGTGTATCTCACTGCACCCTCATATGCCATATCTTGAAATATACAGACAGAGGGATTAAAAGTACATTTACATTGTAATACTTCTGACAGCCAACTTTCTAACTGTGCCCATAACATTTCGACATTATTTTTCCCCATTGTGCTGTAAGTGTTAGAAAACATATATGGTTGAAAGGTTTTCCTGACCATGTGACCTGACCAGGAAAATATCAGAGCCTTCTTCAGAGGTTATTCAGGAACATTGTCCTCTGCTGTCTACCTTCTATTTTGTAAACTTGAAAATAAAATAAAAACGTGACCCTTGACCCACTATAGAGATGACAACATTAATTCAGTTCCATATTACAATTGTAGTTATATTTTCATCAATATATCTGCAGGCTGCCCCCTGTTGGCATACAGTTGTTCCTTTTGATCATAGGTGTGCAATTCAGGTAACATGCTTGACTGCAGCAGGTGATAATTACCTGTGCTCAGTTTTTCAAAATGTATCTATCTGGTTTGCCTATCAGATAGGATTAAATGGATCGAAATAACATTTATATAACGAGGGTCCCCATTCAAGTCAATGATGCATCAGTCTAATTATTCTATTTCTATGCATTTAATCCTATCAGATAGCCGAAATCCGGATAGATACCTTTTGAAAAAGTGAGCGCTGAAGTCCAACGGCGGGAAATTCAATAACATAGAGACCTGTTTTTCTACTGCATATTTCGAAAAATACATACACTTTGTGTACCTAATCCATAAAGTTTAAGAAAATCCCAATGTTTTTGGACCTGCGGCGGGTAGCCTAGCAGTTAAAAGCATTGGGCCAGTAACAGAAAGGTCGATGGTTCGAATCCCTGAGCTGCCAAGGTGGAAAATCTGCCATTCTGCCCTTGAGCAAGGCAGTTAACCCCCAACAACTGCTTCCAGGGCAGCGATTAAGACATGCAGCTATTGTGCCGTGCAAAGGAAAAGTAGCCCTATCCAGCTGCAAAAGGAGTCACTTTGTCAACATGGGAACGAACTAAAAGTTAGTTTTTAGTTTAGGGGAATCCTTGGTTTTATCCATTGAGTTACAGCAATATAAATTGGGTGCAGATATTTCCTAAAATAAAACTGTAAATACTGCTTACACTCACGTTTCAGAATGCGTCCTTGGATTGGGATGGATAATAGGCATTCAGAAAAAGACAGCAATGGGTAGGCCCAAGGGTTTATTTAGGTGCTAAATTAGTAGGCCTAGTCTATAAAATGTTGTTTTGTTATGGCAAAGAAAGGTAGAGCCAAACATCAAACTATATGCCTATCATTCCTGATGTTGACATTTTAATTGTGAATAGGCTAGGCTTACTTTGAAGATTTACACTATATAACAAAACGGGGAAGGGCACCAGAAATATGAAGTAAACCATGAACGGGGGCGGCAGGTAGTTTAGTGGTTAAGAGCGTTGTGCCAGTAACCGAAAGGTCGCTGGTTCTAATCCCCGAGTCGACTAGGTGAAAAATCTGTCAATGTGCCCTTGAGCAAGGCACTTAACCCTAATTGCTCCTGTAAGTTGCTCTGAATAAGAGCGTCTGCTAAATGACGTAAATGTAATGAACAAATATTCTATGTTCAAGAGCGCATCGCAAGCCTGACATTTTCCTGTAATAGATTGATGGGTAGGCTACTTCAAATTACAGCTTTTGAAGCGTGGACATGTACGCAGTGACCCATTCCTAACAAAACGCACATAATGGTAGCATTTACAGATGTTGATAATGGGAAATCTTAAATAAGATCCATAATTTGATCGTTTAGGCAAGGCCTACTTTATTGCCAGTTCTGGACTGTTTCTGTTGCTAAATGCTTTGTTTGTTATGTTTTTGTTTTGCTATTTGTTTATTTTATAGTTTAGATTAGGCTATAACTAAACAATATAGACATGGGCTACTTTCTTTGTTTGGTGCAGGCCCACTTGGCCTTCCACTTGCCTCAGTGCAATTCTCTTTTGGTTTTACGCTTGTTCTCATTGGACGCACCATTTCTCCGAAGGGTGGCGTTTTACACCACTTTCGGCAGCTTTCCTGAAACCAAAGGTCCCCTTCACCAGTCGTATCAGCAATTCAGACTGAATGCAAATCAGAAGTGTCATTCTGAAAGAATCGAGAGGGTGAAGTGTAGCGCATTCCTTGAGAGAGTATAAAACCCTTATCTTCTCTCCCAGCCGGCTCTCAGTCAGGCAACTTGGCTCCCGCACGTAGCAGATGCATGAGCTTTGGCTGAAATTGAGAGCTTCGTGGTCAGTAGGGAAGTTAAAATACTTATTCTAACCGAAATAGCGAGTAGGCTATTGTTGCAACATCAATTTATAGGCTACTTTGCGTCGCAGGGATTTAATTTCGTCGGTAACTTTCTGTTATCCGTTTTCGTGACCATGGGTTCACAACAAACTCACTTGTACGGGTGGGCATTGATGATAGTCGCGGTTTTCTGTCAACGGGGTCATGGAAGTTGCCCGGAGAAAGATTTGGAGAAAAGGGAAGAGGAGGCGAACATAGTTTTGACTGGCACTGTTGAAGAAATCATGAACATGGATCCAGTGCACAATACATACTCTTGCAAGGTAAGTCTGACTGTCCTAGCGTGAGTTGATATATTTCTGTTGAATAAGGTTGCTGCTGAATCTTTAACCGTAGGCTACAAAGTAACATAGTCTTGTTGAAAACGTTACAACGTATCACATGTTTCTGTTTAAGAAGGTAGGATAGGCCTTCATGTAACTCCAAACGGGCACCTGTCAAATCATAGCCTATGCCAGCCCACTTTTCTTCCAATGTCATTTTGAATATTTTGTTTCAAAGCATAAAATAAAGGCAATTTTGCTTCAAAGCATAAAATAAAGGCAATAGTTGAACAAATAAGTAACAATATCACCCCTTTTAACAAACATGTTTTTATTACATATTTTAGGCTAATAAATCATTTTATTAATCGAATAAAAATCTGAATGTGTTCCCTAAGGGAAGGTCAATTGAGCTCTAGTGATTTTAAATACTTGATTTAGCTATAAGACTTTACATTTGCTGTTCTTCAGAAGACTTGTTTTCTTTATTTATAAGTATGAGGTAGTATTTGCGAACATGACAAACCAATATACCGGTAAGATAAAGAGAAGAATACAACCTTATTGTCAAATGGAAATTCATATTTTGCAGTCTTGTTATCCCTAACTCCGCGGACACCACAGACGAGAGGCTGGAAGCAGCACAGGGTCAGCCGCAAAGAGGTGCCCCTGCAGCAGGTTAGGGGTTAAAGGGCCTTGCTCTAGGGCACAATGGCAGTAGGTTGCACCTGAGATTCTGATGCCAGCAACCCTTGGTTGCAAAATCATGTAGTAATGTATACTGTTAACAGATAGATAAATAGATATTCAATTCAAATGGGTGCGGGAAAATCTTGTTGTGCTGCATTAAGATTAAAAGGGCTGGAAACAACAAGTTATTCCAATGTAGGCTAATGTTTAGTGATATACATACACTCGTGAAATCCATGACCGTAGTCCTCACAGAAGCCAATCCTGCAATTAACAAAACTACTCCACAAACCCCTCCGCGTTATCAGTCATTGAGAAATTCCTTTGGTCATTCATTATAAAAAACGTAGTGGCAGTCAGCGCTCTCTGAGCTCAGCAACCTGCTGGTTGGTCTATGGTTCCTTGTCTCATGATTTGGGATGTAGATAAGAGTTGTCCCATTTTTGGATCTGAACCACCGACCACCAAATGAGACCAGCCCATATAGTGAAATGAAAACCTACCAATGAATATGCAATATCTTCTGTTGCAAATAAGGTTATGGTTTAGGAGATATAGTTCAGGAAAGTAAGTAATTATTCAACCCTGTTACTCTCTGATGTATACAATTTGGCCCTTTTAAATGTGTATTACAATAAGTGCTTTGGAGAATAAGTACCTGGAATACCTTATGATTACAAAATACTTTTTCTATTAAATGTTTGCTTAAAGGTAAACTGCAAAATGACAAACAATATGGCAACTTTCCACTTGCAGACATCATATCCTGTTTATGATGTCATCTTGTTCAGTCTACCTTTAAAGTTACAGCTTCAATAAAGGAGGAGCCTCAATAAAGAGTTAAAACCCCACTGTCTTTTTCCATGGCCTTGGTAAAGGTGAGGGTATGGCGGTACCTGAAAGGAAAGACGATGGTCAATGGTGAGGTTCTTCTGGACGGCGGCAACAAGGTGATGATTGGAGGCTTCGGTGACCCTGAGGTCTGCGACAACCAGGTTGCCACTGGCGACACGCGCATTTTCTTTGTCAACCTGGCCCCGGAGTTCATGTGGCCAACACACAAGAATGAGCTGATGCTCAATTCCAGCCTGATGAGGATTACCCTGCGCAACCTGGAGGAGGTGGAGCACTGTGTGGACGGTAAGCTGCCATTTTGTTGTCTCTTCTCTCACTCTGTCTCAACAGGACTGAATGGAATAGACATCCCATCTCTGTTTAAGTGTCCCATCTAATATGGCTGCAAGTGCCAGCCAGGTGAACTGAATGTGACCTCCACACATTAGTCTGAGAAGAGTCAATTTCATGGAAATTGAAATACAAGTATGTTTCAGGAGTGGCCAGCTGCCAGACAGTCACATTTTTAAAATCATGATGTTTAGTTTATATAATTATTTTAAGGTTATTCTGACAGTTGTATGGGTCAATCACATTGTAAAGCTAGGCATCACAATCCCTGCTCTCCTGCATCACAAGTAAGTGGTGTCTGAAATGTCATAGCTGTAGGGTTACACCCACCACTCTGTTTCCCAGTACTCAGACACGTGGGGACACCTGAGTCATCTAAGCAGGTTGGTTGTCATGGTGAAGGTGCTGTGGCCCTTCTCTGGTCAGTCAGCCCTCAAGGAGGTAGGTGTGTCCCCTTTGATGAACACCTTCAGAGACAGTAAATTACCTCCCTGAGGCTTGACCCCTAACCTGTGACCCTAGTCTGTGGGACGTTTTATGTAGTCAGAGGGGAGCTCCTTAAGTCTTTTTTACATATAACCCGAAGCTTTGAGTTATTTACTGGGGACGGTGTTTCTCACACTCTTTTAGCAGTAGATACTGAAAACCTCCCCACTGCAATAAGAGTTAATTGAAAACGTTGGCTCTTTTTGGTACTTTTTTGTAGAGAACCCATTTGTCAGCCACTATAAGAAGACCAATACCCGTGACTAATGAGTCTGTGACCATGCCCCTCTGTGCCAGCAAGCATGGCTTGTTGCTGTTCAGCTTCTGCTGGTGCTTGAAAATGCTGGTCAAAAGTAAGACTCCACGGCCTTCATAAGAAGGCTTCAAATGTCAGGGAAAACAGTCAGTGCCCGACTCATTCGTGGTGGCAGGTGATTCCAATGGTCACAGCTTGCTTACAGTGTTTGGTTGAGTTTGGCACACACATAAAAATGAATTTGCTTGTCTGTCCAGGCAAGCAGCACTGTACTGCTAAACTTTTTTTTCTCCCATTTTTTTATTTGTTGCGAAGAGGAGAGTTTCTTAGCTCTAGCAACTACTGTCTAGAATGTGTCCTTTTTTGTTGTGGGTGCCTTGTGTTTGAAGAGGTTCTTAGCATGGCCAGAGGAGCCCCATATTTCACCTAACCGGCTAGAGGGCCTAGTGTTATGCATCCTACTGCAAATAAAAAAATATGTGGACTGGTGAAGAGAGAACATATGCCTTCGTGTCCTATTTCGTTTCAATTAAACCTTATGAAACTTTTCAAGCTTTATTCAAGTTAACTTGCAATGTAATTGTAATATTGCACTGCTGTGCAATTATTTCAGTGCACTGACTTGCTTTTGGGGCATAGTAATTATCCAGGCCTCTCGTGGTTAGATACAAATCCGGGACCCATTTTAGCCAGGTGATTTGTTGGCATTCCTCTGAAGAATTAGCTCTGAGGCTTCACTCCATAGCAACGTTTTTAATTAAGATAGTCAATTTGGATCCCATCCTCTGTGTGCAGCCAACCATCCATCGAGTAGACTGGGGATGTTAGTACAGTCGGACAAGACTCTACCTGCCGCTGCGCTCAGTGTATCCTCCTCTTTCTTCCCATTCTTGACATTTCCACAGCTAGGAGAGACCCAGGAATGCCTGGCGGAGCTAGGTGGGGAGGAAAAATAGAGTCTTTGTGTAACATGAAAGGGGACAGAGGATGAGTGCGAATGAAGTGGAAAGAGTGGGGAAGAGTGTGAGAATTATTTGTTCTGGTGTTGACTTGGAATGCTGAGGATGTATGTTTTGCTTAGCATCTCATGGTCGGGAAGTGCTAGCAAAGCTCCATGGTGTAGACAGATGCCTGGAGGCATCATGTTTCTCACTCGCTCCACATTGCTTTAGTGCGGCAGTACGGGCCAAAACCTTGCACGGGATCACTCAAGCAATGCGTTCCTCTCGCTAACAGCAGCCTTTCCCCCCCAAAGGAGTGTTTACAAGACCTCCGTAAACACCCGGCACTATTAAAAACACAACTCCATATTTGACCCGCTCCCAACGTGTTATCTCTGTTTACTGTGCCCGCAAAGGCAATTTAGAGACTGAATTAAGAGAAGAAAAGGGCCGAATGCACATCTTCTGACTGAGACATACGTCCTCTCACATTGTTAAATTGCACGATAAGCGAAGACCCCAGCACTGCATCTTCCTCTCCCTTTGTTTGCTCCTCGAGCAACTACTATTCATTGAAGTCTTAGCATATTCAATTGTGCCTCACGCACCGAGTTGTCAGATAATGTGTCAAAATCAAGAAGAGCCATTTGCAAGGCTTTGGAAACACAATAATACGTCTGTCTGTGAAAGTGTATGGTGGGATACGAGACTTAACCGTATGCCTGGGGCTTCATTTTCTGTGAACTGAGAAAATATAAATTCACTGTTTTGTTGTCGTTTCTTTTTTCCTTTGCTATGTTAATGATGGAGGGAAAAGGGAAAGGGCTAGGGGAGAGGATCATAGATGGAGAGGAATCCCACTTGATGGATAGGTGTTGAACTTACAGGGAGATGCTATCTGTCCTGGTTTGTTTTTCAGCTGTTTTTGTTTCAACTCCACTTGAAGGCAATAAAGTCATCCCCTCAAGGCTCTGTCAGGGGAGCGCAACAAAGGGCTTTTTCTTCCCCTCTGTCTTCATCCCAGAAGTCACTGGAGGATAAACTTGCGTGATGTCAAGAGCATGTTGGGATGCTTGCCCCATTTTGTAATTCGGTGTCAATAGCTCACAATGCCAGAGTAGACCACCTACCATCATTTGGGGTTTCCTTCCTTTTTTCTATGTACACATATTAGAATTATGCAATTGCGCAAAGGAATTTGATCCCTGTTCAATGTCATGATATTTGTCTTTACCACATATAGCTATGTAGGTTTTATTTATGTCCCAAAGAGGAGGTGTAGGGGGGTATTTGACTAACCCAAAGAAGTGAGAGAATAATCCCACACCCAGACAGTCCCACCCAGAAGACTGAGAGGGCACTGAGGTCTTGGGTTTCTTTATCCCAAACTACTGATGTACAAACTCCCCTTTTTGAGTTCAGAGAGTCAGGGTAAGTTATGGATCCAAGCAGGGTGACTCTGAGTGTACTTTTCTCAGTATACATTAACGTATTAGGGTGTCTGTGGGTTTGTGTCCCTGGGTGTGTGCCGTATGCATGTGTATGTGTGTGCACAATGTGAGTTTTTGCAGTGAGTGGAGGGCAGTGAGAAGATGATGAGGATTGGAGGGGCGAGCAACAAAGGCAGAGTGATGTACCTGTTTGCCAGCTTCTCCCGAGTCTCCAGAGTTATTACACTTTTTAGATTTTAATAAAAAAATGATGGGTGTGCGGTGCCTGACCGGAATAGCGACGAAGGGCTCCAAATGGAAAAGGAAGGAGAGAGGAGGGAACCTTGCCTCCTTGACTCACCCTCCTACCCGTGACACTGTTTGGTTGCTGATAAGAATCACTGATGGAATTGATGGCTCATTGAGAGATACATGTACAGACAGACACCATAGGTCTGCTACTCCTTTCATACATACTACCATATAACCTGAATGTAAAATCTCCAAAAAGCTACAATTGTATTTTGTGTAGGTAAGTGAGGAGATCGTAGACCAAATTTTGAGTTGAAGCCAAGGCGCTCATCTGGCATTTTTGATGATTGTCTAAGAGGAAGGATGAACCTCACTCCATTTCTAATTGTCAGTTGTCATCTCAAGCATTTTATAATAGTTGTAAAAATATGACAAAAAATGTAATGTATGCATTAGCATTCTTTACCCTTACGGAACAATTTTTAAACATTTTATTTTATTTTTTATTTCACCTTTATTTAACCAGGTAAGCCAGTTGAGAACAAGTTCTCATTTACAACTGGCCAAGATTAAAAACAACACAGTTACATATGGGGTAAAAAAAACATAAAGTCAAAAATACAACAGAAAATATATATACAGTGGTGCAAATGTAGCAAGTTATGGAGGTAAGGCAATAAATAGGCTATAGTGCAAAATAATTACAATAGTATTAACACTGGAATGCTAGATGTGCAAGAGATTATGTGCAAATAGAGATACTGGGGTGCAAAAGAGCAAAATAAATAACAATATAGGGATGAGGTAGTTGGGTGGGCTAATTTCAGATGGGCTGTGTACAGGTGCAGTGATCGGTAAGGTGCTCTGACAACTGATGCTTAAAGTTAGTGAGGGAGATAAGTCTCCAGCTTCAGAGATTTTTGCAATTCGTTCCAGTCATTGGCAGCAGAGAACTGGAAGGAATGGCGGCCAAAGGAGGTGTTGGCTTTGGGAATGACCAGTGAGCTATACCTGCTGGAGCGCAGACTACGGGTGGGTGCTGCTATGGTGACCAATGAGCTAAGATAAGGCGGGGATTTGCCTAGCAGTGATTTATAGATGGCCTGGAGCCAGTGGGTTTGACGACGAACATGTAGTGAGGACCAGCCAACAAGAGCGTACAGGTCACAGTGGTGGGTAGTGTATGGGGCTTTGGAGACAAAACGGATGGCACTGTGATAGACTACATCCAGTTTGCTTGAGGTGGATCTGAGAGTCACCAGCAGCAAGAGCGACATCATTGATATACACGGAGAAAAGTGTCGGCCCAAGAATTGAACCCTGTGGCACCCCCATAGAGACTGCCATAGGTCCAGACAACAGGCCCTCCGATTTGACACACTGAACTCTATCTGAGAAGTAGTTGGTGAACCAGGCGAGGCAGTCATTTGAGAAACCAAGACATTCAATAGGACTAGATGCCTTTCATTCAACCGTTCATGGAGTGGTCTGGTTCTTGAATGCTGCCCTGGGCTGTACAGGGAGAGCAACACTGAACAAATATATAAACAAACAAAAATATAAATGCAATATGTAAAGTGTTGGTCCCATGTTTCATGAGCTTAAATCAAATATCCCAAAAGCTTATTTTACACAATTTGTACACAAATTTGTTTACATCCCTGTTAGTGAGCATTTCTCCT